TTTTCCCTTAACCAGATCCCCAAACTTTCTGTGGTAATTCCAATGATATTCAACTCATTGCTAGGTTCACAACATTATATGAAAAAGGGAAGTTATAGTCCCTTACAAATGAGGGATTCTGAAGTTTAAACTTCCTTAATTTCAGGATAAAATGACCTTTGAAAGGGACCCTTATTGATTACTTTTCCCTAAACTCTTCTATTTTCTCTATACATTTTGCTTTCTTCCCTCACCATCATTTTCCAGTTTCTTTCATTTTTTTAATGTAGGACGTAATAATAGGCACCTGTGTTTATATGTGATTCTCATAACACTTTGAGAACAATTAACTATGTGCTCTTAGCACATATATGGAAAGGGGTAGAAGATACTGAGTAATTATCACAATAAAGGAAAGGAAACACATTTTGCCTAAGATACATCATGATTTAACATATTGTCTCAAATGAAAAACCAATGTGTACATTCACATCGTAAAATTAAGTATATGTAACTAATTTGAGAACTTTGCTTCTCAGACAAACTCAACCCCAGGTTTTTATTTTTCCCACTGGAATTAAAATTTCGATTAACTAGAATTATCAGAGAAAGGCATCATTTAAATATTCTTCTGCCTAACTTACAATCATTAACTAAAACATTCTTTTGTTTTCGTTGTATATTGTGTAGAATCTTTGTAAATCTTAAGTGGCAACTTTTCTCACTTAGTAAGGAAAATAGCCTGAATGTAATCTAATTTGATTAATTAGGTTGCTAAATTGTTTCATGACTATGATTCTGGAAGTCAATTCTCATCATACCAGAGGTTTGGAGAAAAGTAAGGGTTCTTAATGAAGGTACATTTCCCTGGGGAGTATCTGTGTCACTTACCAACTCTACATATTGAAAGTGACACAAAATCCATAGACTCAAATGGAAAAGCGTAGTTTGCAGTTGGATCTGGAAGTAGTTCTGACTTCAGGTAATGCTGGATCCAGGAGTTCAAGGATTGTCATAAGGAATCTGAATTCCCTTTGTCTCTGACCTTTCTATCTTCTGCCGCAGTGCTTTTGAGCTAAAGCTTCCTACAGTAGTTACCCAAGAAAAACTATGCTGTCTCCTAAAGGTGAGAAAATGTTGCACCTTTTCAGAACTCATATTATTATAGAACACAATTTAAAGAAGTTAGCTGCTCACTCACAGACAACTAGCAAATGCTTCTTTTTACCTCATTGGCTCTGATCGAATGATGCACTCGTCTTCGAACCGGGCAATACTTCAGGAGTAACAGGGAAGAGGAAGAGAACACAGTGGTTGGCCTAAGTCCATCTGGGCTCAATTCTAGATGGCTGGGTGTGGTGTGATGGGGTATAGGGGACAGGCATCGAGGAACTACTTTTCCAAAGGAAAATGGCAGAAGTGAAGGGTGGATATTAGGGATGCAACCAACAAATGTCCATCAGTCTTTAGTGACACAATCTGTTTTCTGTGTCTGTAACAAATACTCATCTGTTACAAATGTATATGTTAATTTGCCTTTATAATGGGTAATTTATAATGAAAACAACTATTTCTTTTTAGTTCTGGATGTGGAGAAGTCAAAGTCAAAGGTCAGTGTCTGGCCGGGGCCATTTTGCTTAATCATCCCATAGAGGAAGAGTCCAGGAGAAGGCAAGAGAGAGCCTTTATAAACAAATATTTCTGCCATAATAAACTCACTCCCATGATCATGATATTAATCCACTCATGAGGTGGGAGCCCTCCTGGCCTGTGATTAAGTCATTTTACAGCCCCACTTCTTTATGTTATTAGAATGGTAATTGAATTTCAACATATATTTGGAAATGGACATTCAAACCATAGTTCAACCTAAATCTTTCACTGGTCATGTATAGGGACTTCAAGTCAATTGACTGTTTTAAAATAGTTTCTTCTTCTGTACATGACGGTAACAATACCAGAATCCAAAGGTTGTTATGAAGGCTGTACAAGATAATATATATCTGATAGGGCTACAGATGTAGTTCAAAGCTGGAGCATTTGCCTAGCATGCAGGAGCTCCTGGGTTCAATCCCCTGTGCCACAAAATGATAATGATGATATGATAATAGCAATAAAGGTGATGGGGATAATAATAATAAATGGGGGAATGATAAAATGTCCAATACGTAGTTGATGCTCACTAATAATCTTGACCAAATTCTTCAGTGCTATGAATGTCTGCTATTAAAATGGAAGGCAGGGGCTGGGAATTTAGCTCAGTGGTTCCCCCACCTGCCTCGTAAGCATAAGGTCCTGAGTTCAATCCCCGGTACAAAAAAAACAAAAACAACAACAACAACAAAAGGAAGGCAGGAGAACGCTCCATCACACAGAACAATTCAGCACTCTGGCTAAAGGAAGAGCTACTTCAAAGAGCGAGTAGAGTTTGGCCATTGGCTTTATCCAATACATAGAAAATCTTCTTGCAAGCCTCCACTGAGAGTTCTGTGTGTTACCTTTCATAGCTGTGAAAACTTCAGGATTTCAGAGGTTTCTGTCCATGATCAGTTGATCTGCTGCTTTTGAGTCTATAGCAACACCATGGTGGTGAACGTACATCGGGCCAAGCTGGTCACATCATGGCAGCCGGGGAAGGGCACGCAAACCTTTTACAGCCACACCCCCAATAACCTAACTTTCTTCAACCAGGCCACAGTCTCTTGAGCACCATCGGCTGAGAATCAAGCCTTCAATATAAAAGGCTTTGAAGGGTATTTATGCTCTAAACCATAACATTATGAGGATGGAAATATTTCTGAAATCCAAAATACAAATATAAATTCATATTTTCAGAAAAATAATGATCTGAATTGTGGTCATGTATCTTCAGTAAATAAGATATATCTATTTAGTTCACAATATAGTTGAAACAAGGGCCTCACAGACACATTTGGTGTGATCCCAATGATATTTCATAATTTCATCCGTGTCAGAGTTGCTCTGGAGAAAACACATCTATACGTGAATCTATTATGAAATAGCAGAATAGGTTTGTCTGGTTATAGGACATGCAATGTAAGTATATCATTAAGAATATATGCATTTGTATATTACACACATGTATGTTTTTAAGAACTTTAAATAGAATGGTCTTGTACAGAAAATTCCCAGGAACAGGGATTGTGGGTGTACAGAAGACACCAAAAACACAGATTATTCAAAGGTGTATAGTTCTGTACAAAGTAAGTGGCCCAAGTCCATTCCCTCTGCTATCCAAGCAGTCATTGGTTCTGCCCACACCCATCAGCAACGTTAATTGTCCATGCATAATGGCATTTGAGATCTTTGTCTGTGGGGGGAAAGGGACAACGAGGGTAGAGCTCTCATGAAGAAGCAAACTACCAGACCAGACCCATGCACATCTCTTCCCGGGCTCAAATGATTAATGTGTTAGTTTCTGGAAGGTCATCAGATTTCCAAGCGTGCTCAGCTACAAAGAAATTCGCTACTTTTTTTTTTTTTAATTCTCTCTCCCATATGTGGAAGGTTGCAGGTGTGAAGCAGCTGTGTCCAAGGTAATGATGTCTCATACATTTGCACAGTGTAGCAGACTGAGTTGCATCTTCCCTTTTCTTTCCTTTCCTCCTTTTTTTTTTTTTTTCTTT